TTTTTTTTAAATTTTCTTTATTTTCTAAATATTTGAAAGTTGATTAAATTTAAAAAGCTAAATGTTTATTAATACTATGATAAGTTTAGCATTGAGCATGCAATTATCGACGAATACCATATATGAAAATGACGTTCAACATAAACTCATTTCATTTAAATAAAAGATAAATTTTAATTTTCCATGAATTAAAGTAGCAAAAAAATCTATTAAAAAATAAAACAAATTAATTTGAAAAGGATGATACATAATAATATGTCATCGTTAAAATTTAATTTAAAATTTTATTTGATTTATTTTTAATTTATTAATCATTAAGCAATTTTATGACATAAAAATCTACAGTGAGTTTATTGATAGTGTGTTCTTTAATTAAACACAAAACTAAAATTATATTCAATCCTATCATGAAATTTTCGTTTTCCTTCTCTTTGATATTTGAATGAAGCGAAATTATCGAATAAGAGGACCATTCTGCCATAAAAAATAATCTTTCAGATATATTTTCAGTCGATGAATTAAAATTAATAAAGAAAATATTCAAAATGAGCAATTTTAATTAGAATTTTTGTGAAGAGTTCATTTGTTGAAAGTATAACAGTAATATATTCTCACAAATCAACACTGAAGTGTGATTTATGCCTCAGACAATTCAGAAATGGGAAATGAAAAATAAAATTTAAAAATGAAAGATCAAGTGTTCATTAGTGAGAATGAGGAAGATATTTTTAGAATCTCTAATAATCAAAATAAATTGTTGAATTTCGAGAAAATATTTCAAGTAGATCAAGTTAACTTCAACTTATTAAATTAATTATATATTAGGCATGAAGAATTTAAGTTACGAATTAACTGATAAGTAGTCTCACATATAATTTGTTCAGTGATTTGATCAAACGTTCATTTTTTATTAAATCAGTAATTCGATCGTTGAATTAATTTTCTTTAAAATTTCATCTCTTAAATATTTTGATAGCACGCATAAATGTAAAATATTTACATAGAATACTAACTTCCACATTCTTCATACTTTCCCACTTGTTATTGTTTAAAAAATTTTTTGAAGTATTTGTGTCAACAAATTACAAGTAAAGTTCATACTTGCAAATTGCTATATCCCAACTATCCTAACATTTAAAAAAACTTTTATGTTTGCAAAGTATTCGTCGAAATTCCTTGGATCAAATAATTCCACGGATCAATTAAGCATTACTAAAGTACAGTAAGATATAATTTTGTAAGCTTCAGGTCTACTAAGAAGATATCCTAACATTTAAGTAATAGATTAAAGATTTTCCATCAAATAATTAAATGATATACTGTCTTGGAAAATATTTCAGTACCACTAAATCGAGGCATTGGAATTCTCTGTTATTAAAGAAGCTCAATGTATTTATTAAGAATTTAAAAAATTAAAAATTTACAAAAACTGAAATTTTTTAAGGAAAAAAAAGATAGATAAAAAACATACATGTGCTGTTCGTTATTCATTCCATCATGAAATGTCCAAGCAGAGCATTAAATTAATCATTCTTCAGTATCAAAATATTCTCGTAAATTCCAATTTCGGAATTCCATTTCCGATTTAAGTGCCGATTCCATTCATTTTTGCTCCATTAAAATCTCACATTTTCGAATTACACTTCCACTGCTACTGCGACTTTTTACCCTTTTAGGCACTTACCAAGCCTTAGAATCTCAGCTCCAACTTGGACAAATGAACAGAAAATGGGCAAAAGAAGAGTATGAAACAATATAGGCCACATAGGAACTAGTCTAAACTAAAATTCAAAAACAAAAACTTTCTGAAATTCAACAAACTTAAAAATGTAAAGTTTAAACTTTATGAAATCAAAATAGCAAATATTGCTACGTCAGCATATTTTCGTCTAAAAAATTTCATCAAATTATCGATAACAAGCTATAACTACAGTTCTCTCTTACGATATATCGATAAAATTATCATCTCAATGATTTGATTAAGATTCCCTTAAGAAACATAATTGATTAAATTATATGTTAAGAAACAATCAACAATTAGACAAAAAAAAAGCACAGGACAGGACAGAAACGTATGAATAATTTAGCATAGTTAACATAAAATAAATTATTGAGAAATTTCAAAAAATAAAAAATAAAATCATACCTTCTGAAGGGCTTCAATAGTCTGAAATTTTTTAAAAAACATTATTAAAAAATTTTAAGTTGAAAATTGAGAATTATGGAGGGAGAAATTTTTCAACTGATTTTGATTGATACAAAAGAAGTGGTTAGTAAAATTGTAGAAATGATAGGCATGTAAAATGTTTGACCATAATGATTTCGTGTAGTCATAGTTTGACATCATCAATCATCAAGGTCATCATCATCATTATCATCATCATCCTTCCTAGGCTTTTATTCTTGTGACAAATCAGATGATAGATTAGTCCGTAACATATTCAAATGCAAATTACTACATCTTTTAACAAGGTCAAATGTGAAATGATTCACTGAATCTTTTTTTCTTTTCAAAATTTTTGAAATCATTGAATTTCATTTTCCGTTCATATGCTTTGCAGTAAAAATTTATGCTTCATCTCATTTGCAAACGTACTCGGAATCATATTTAATTTATGCAATTATTTTATAAGATTTAAATAGATTGATTTAAAAAAAAAAAGGTTCATGATTGACCTTCTTGATTTCAGCAAGTTCTTTAAGTGATTGATCATTTGATTTTGTAGCCTGAAATTGATGGAACATTTTTATTTCTGTATTACAATTTTTGCAATTTTCATTATTAACTTTACTTCAATCATATAAAATTTACACATATTTAAGCTACTCTAAAAAAAATTTACCATACCTTTGGACCAGGCCATTGAGGCTTATCCCATGGCTTATTAGCATCATTTTCCCGTGCTTGTAAGTAATCTTTCAATCGGGATGCTTCCATATCACGATGTCGATCAAGGCTTTCTGTTAAGTATGCACTCGTTGTGACAGGGCGTGTTTCAACAGCCTAAAACTTTAGAATTTTTTTACTTAAAAATTAAATTTGATTTTGTAAACATTCGAATAACTTTCCATAGAATTAAATATAGTTAAAGTTAAAAATACAATTAAAATCACGCGATTAAAATTAAAAAATCAAAACAATTATTTTAAATTAACTGAGCAAAAAAGCTGAACTGACAAAAATTCGAAATAGCTGGAACATATAGTTTTATAATAAATAAATCTAAATGATTTCGTTTTTCTTCATGAAAATATCTGTCAAAAATTTCCCATAATATCACATTTTCATCTTTAACCTTTAACCCTAATTTCAAATAATTGTATTTTAAAATTTTCCATATTAATAATTTATATACCCGTAATTTTCTTTGTTGCATTGGCTCCAATTTCAGAAACGATCTTTTACTGTGCTCACTTGGAAAATCTAAATTTCGCCGTTGAATTCGTGGAATTTCTCGATTTTGCGCAGGCATCGATGCGTTCGAGGTAACTTTTGGATCAATAATTTGTAATTTGAAATGATCCTGCGTTTCTTTCACCTAAAAATTGATCTATAATTATAGTTAAAAATTTTAATTCAAAAAAATTCAAATTTTTCGAATCAAAATTATTTTGCAAAATTTTAGAAAATAAATTAATTCAATTGTATCTACTGAAATACACTGTCTATTTTCAAGCACCAAAAAGTATAAAATTTATTATCAATTACATGAAAAATGAAATAAATTTCATTAAAAAAACATATCTTATAATCGCCAACAGCTTCTGGTAAATTTAAATCTGAACCAAAATCCATTTTTTGTACCTGTAATATCACGTTTTATATTAATATTTTAATTTCAAAGTTTGCATTTTAATTTTTTTTCAAAAAAAAAAATTTGAAATCAATGAAATATGTTATTTGTGTTTTGAACATTTACGAGAAAAGAATAGTAACAAAAATTTACTTGTCTTTTACTAACACTTTTGTAGCTAGGCGTAATAGACTGTACTACAGATTTTTCTGCTTCACCGTGAATTATCGTCGGACGGTCTTCCTGCAAAAAAAAAAAATTGGTATTGATTTTAAAATTTTAAATTACCTTGATATTTGTATAAACATTGTACAGCTAACTTGAAAATTCTATAATGTATGTTTAAAAAAGACTGAAATTTGATTTTAATTGTCTAATAGAAAAAATTTGCATTCATCATTAATGCTAAAATAGTAACATATATATTTAAAATTACCACCATTTTTTTCATGTTTAGCAATTCAGAATCTAAAAAGCAACGGTCAAATGGTCACTAACGATAGCCGTTAGCACTAATCATTTAGCTAATATCCAACATCAATTTTACAATGTCAAATAACTGCTTAAATTTCACGAATAATTAATCTTAATATTGCGATTATGTTCAAAGTTACGAAAATAAATAAGCTAGAAGAGATGAATTAATTGCAAAATTAGAATAACAACAAACGATAAATAAATGAATATTAAATTAAAATAAAAATAAATATAAGATACTTATTACTGAACAATATAATCTACCTCTAAATGAATTTACGGTTTTTCTATTGCATCTCATTGAATGAATAATTTTAATCGGAAATGATTAAGTAACAAATTGAAAACGAATAATTTTATTGAAATTTATTTTAGACATAAATATTGATTTTTAAGGAATAAATTTGAGATTCCGTTCATAATGAAAGGTTAATATGTCATGATATAAGTCATTTACTTAAAAAAATTTTAATATGAAAAGAAGATATTTAAAAAATTGGCTTCAAATCAGATGGAACATACAAAAAAACGCAGACGTTCCATAAACATCGGTGAAAATCGCCGAACTTGAGGTTGCTCTACCATTCCGCCGTATACAATGTTTTAATTTAATACTGGAAATTTTGTAGCTATTTACTTAAATTTTTTTATCACATAAAGAAGACGCGATCCATTTCCAGCAAAAAAAAAAAAAAAAACAAAATAAGAAAATAATCGATTGCTATATGAATAGTATAGTCAAATGTTTTGAATAGACAAATTTCCTTTGAGTAAACAAAAACATTTCATTAATTTTAAGTTGTACAGGATCGATTATTCGAGGAACGATTCAAATCACAATTCCAATTAGATCAATCTTTATAAAAAAAATGAATAATTTCAAATATGAATAAAATTGAAATGAGAAAGAGTAAATTTTATTCGGGGAAGTTTTTCATGAAAGGAAAAATAAATCAAAATTGAAAAGAATTGGTGATGTTTGTTTGCCATACACAATACCGCCAAAGTGTAGAAATCTTGAATTGTTTATGAGACAAACGAGTCTTGCAGATATATATCATTCATCACAACGATCAGAGATTATTTGAATGTATGAATGTTTAATCGAAGATCACCACATATCAGCCATATATGATCGCTATTCTCAATCATTCCTTTTAAAAATATCAACTTTGATTTTAAAAAAAAAAAAAATGCAAAATTGGACAGCTTGGTTGTCAAATAGTATTCCAATTATTACCTATTTTCAGCAGTTTTTTTTTTAGTTTGGTCCTAGGCTGCAATATATGATGAATTAAATTTGGACACAAATAAAAATTGAATTCAAACATCCTTTAGTAATAATTATTTCTTTTAAGCTAATCTCCTCAAAAATATTCAAAATTTTGAAAATTATTGAGTATTGAAAAAATTTACTAAAATCAAGCTGAATATAATTTTATTTTTCTTTCTCCTCATCATTTTTTTCCTCTTCTTTTAATTAATTTAATCCAGGCAAAAAAAAAGATAGTAAAACTTTAATTTGTTGCAAAATATTAATAAAAAATATCAGTAATAGAAAAATCAAAAATTGTTACCATTTATCGCATAAAATGTAAATCTCATTGAATAATTGATCTAAATTTGAAGTTTCAAAAATTTTTAAAGATGGAAGCATTAAAATGCAATTATCACTGAGCAATAGGATAAATTGAATTTGTTAACAGAAAAGAAACAAAAAATGTTGTTGCTGATAGCAATAAGATTTGATAAATTTGTTAAAAAGATTGCTCAATTGAAGGAAATGCACGACAACTGAAAAGTTCAAATTTGTTATTTCTCATGCACGAATGAGAAAATTGAACGATGCATTGAAAAAAAA